CTCAGCTGTGAACACTACCAACTCCAATAATGACTGACCTGGTGAGACGCCCCACTCCTGCAACCATGGCGTGAATGCTGTGGGAGGAACCATAGCTTTCTGATTGGATTTAAATTTGTTCCACAAGGCAGAACTCATGCCTGATACCCTTACCTTGACCAAAACCTCATGACTGGTTAGGTCATAGGCCCTAATTCTGCTAAATGGACACAGTATTAAACTATTCCCCTCCCAAGTTCTTGTCTTTATACCCATAGGTTAGTGTATCTCTTGACTGACATCAGAGAAGCTTCTTTTTGCAGTAGCGATTAATACAGAGACCCACAACTATTCAACATGCAAAGAATAAGAGATTAGAGTGCTCAGCTCTAAATGGAACATCTCTATCATACCCCTTCTCCCCAAGGCTCAGAGATTGTCACGGAAGTAGGACAGAAAAGACCCAGAACCAGTAGACATTTGCCTTGAAACATTACTTGTTGGACATGGCGATACTACTATACACATGAGCTCACAGTGGCTGTGAGTGCATGCACAAGATCTGCACAAGAGCAAGCCAACTAAAATCCCAGCACTGACAGGGAGGGGATGGCTTACAAAGTCCTACCCCTAACGGAGAAGCTACTGATGACTTCTAGGGGGGAGAGAGTAACTTTTCTTCAGGAATTCAGCCCGTGAAAGGTCAACCCACACCCCAGCAGAGGGCTCTACATTCATGTACGTGCAGCCCTGCGTGGCTTCAGCACGTGGAGGCGGGGAGGGGGTTGTAATGAAGGTAGGGGGGGATGGGACGGAATCGAAGGGAGGGGAACAGGGGACAGAGAATGCTGGCCTGGCATGTTCACAATTCCCCTCCCCCATAAAAAGAGAGAAAATGCTGGCATTTACCTATACCAGCTCTTTGATTCTTGAGGTAGTTAATGTGGCTTGCAATATGAGAGATTCATTGGCTGGACTATTCTGGAGTGTGTGAGGTGAGTAGAATAGAGAAAGGGTAGCAACAGAAACCATGCCTTCATCATTGTCCACCTTACAAAATAAACCTACAAAATAATATACTATAATGCCAGTTCAAAAGCAGTTTGTTTGGGGCTGGAGAGACGGCTCAGCAGTTAAGAGTGCTTGCTGCACTTTCAGAAGACCAGAGTTTGATTCTCAGCACCAATATGGGGTAGCTCACAACTATCTGCAACTCCAGCTACAGGGGATCAACACCTCTCCTGCCCTCTTTATGCATTTACACGAATGAGTGCAAACACACACACGCACAATTAGAAAATTTTTAGTAAGAAAATATTTTTAAGATTCTTTTTTGTTCCTATTTCAAGATTTTTCTTTCATGTTAGTCCGTGTTGATAAGACAGAAACTTTCTAAAATTATGACTTAGTGTAAGTCAAGACGGTGCTTCTGGATTTGCCCCCCCCCCCCCCCCCGCCCCCCAGGAGCAAAAGATGGAGAAACAGACCCAGCAGCAGGGCGAGAAGACACGGACACCAACCCAAATCTGCTAAACTCATAAGAGAAGAAAGCATATAGGAAATGACATCAGAGGTCTCAGACAGGACCTCGGTGTGGAGGAGGTAGGAACAGCAGCAGGGTTCACGCCTACTCCACAAGCAGTGTGCCCACAGATCTGCAGAGCCTCAATAAGGCTAAGGGCCCCGGGAAAACGAGGGGCTCTGAGGGGCTCAGAGAGCGGCTACCGCAGAGCTCATCCCCTAACCCAGCCAAAGAGCAGAGCCTGGGAAGTGTGGGGGGCACGAGTTCCCAGAACCCGGCTACTGTATCCTTGCATTTCGCAGCGGTCACAAGAGCAAATTCCAAACTGTGGATGGAGGAGGAATAACACTGAAGAGAAGGGAATGTACCGAGTCCAGCATCCCTGGCGGAAGCCTGGATGAGGAATGCAAACATCTTCAGGAATGGGGAGGTTCAGAATGAGCGCCAGTGCCGCCGCCGCCGCCGCCGCTGCTCTGACCAGGAGACAGCCCGAACTCCCCTAGATCCCAAGATCTGGGACAGAGGAGGAAGACACTTAGGCAGCAAGAAAATTTAGAAGAAAAAGAATACTGTAGGGAAGACAGAAGAAGGCAAAACAAAAACAAAAGAAAAAAACAACAGGGCTATTTTAATCCTCCAGGACCTCTCTTCTCATCTGCATTGGGAGAAGATGCAGTTGGAGGACCGCAGGCAAGAAAGAAAGGCTCATCGGGTCACCTTCGCAGAAAGGTCATGGAGCAGGCAGGCAGCCACATCTGGGCTATAAATAGCAGGAAGAAGCTGAGCTCCACAGTGCTCAGGGCCCGAAAGCCCCCCCCCCCGCCCCCACTCAGGTGACGACAAGCAACAGGCTCACTGTGGAGGCTTCCTCCTGGCAGCTGTTCGGGGGCTGCAAAGGAGAAGGAAGTCCTTCTGCAAAGCATACACCAAGGCCTAGGTGTGTCTGTTCAAACCGAGTCTCTAAATTTAGGGAAGGAAGAAGGGCTGGGTGTGGCAAAGAGATAAGCAGGTGACAGTAATCAAAGTGTAGTTTCAAACTTTTGAAGAAGGAAAAAAAAAAAAGAGCAGGCTGACTTCAGTTACCCATCCACAGGCCAAAGGAAGCTTTAGAAGGGTTTAGAGGGAGGAGAACCCGGGTCCAAACACAGACAAACTGCTGAACTCTTCTGGACCCGTTGCAGTACAGACAATTGCTCTGAGGATTAAATAAACAATAAGTTGGAAATTCCTAACTGCTAAGCAGTAAACGTCAGGCAGGTGCTGCTGTTTAACCCTGTGCGTTAAGTGAGACAGCATGTGTTTTGAACTAGAGATGTTCTAGGGAGTCAAGATTTGGGTCAAAGGCCTTCCAAACACAACCCCCGAAGGATGTGCTCCTCTTTCTTAGTGGCCCCATCTTCCCATTCCGTCCAGTTCTCCCCCTCCCTTGGTGATGGGCTGCGCTGGTCAGGGCTGGGGTTTCTCTCTCCTCACAGGCTGTCACACTGTAATGTTTGTTCTGCTTCCTTCCTTTCCAAAGCCTAGCAGATTAGATTGCTAAGTCCTGTTCCGCTCACCAAGACAGACAAGAAAGTGAAAGTAAGGCTCCCCAAACTGTTCATGGTGGAGAGAACTCACAAGGAACAGCTCTGCACCCAGCCCAAAACCCCAGCAACCAAGCCCTTTGGGTATGGGGAGGGAGGGGAGGCGGGGAGGAGAGGAAAGACAGCCTCCTTGCTTTCTGAGATCCACAAGCACTAGTGGTCCGTGTCAAGTTAAATCGGAGCCATCCAGCCCGCAAAAGGCACTGTGTACCTGTACCACGGCAGGACAGGACAGCGGGATGCTCCCATGGCCAAGCTCCTGCTGTTTTGTCTGACTAGTGCTCCAGCACTTTCTGCCAACTCCTGGGAGGAAGGCAGGACTGCTCTCCTGGGGTCTCACTGGACAGCTAATACTTGTCTCCCTCCCCCAACTCCCTCTGGGGCTGAAGCTGGGGAGAGCAGCTTGTAAGGCAAGCTCTCCATCATGGCGGGCGGGACACTAAGCTGCCCCTTTCCCACATCTGCAAATTCGCTTCATCAGCAACCGACAACCAAACTCTGTGTGCTCAGGATTGATTTTCATCCCCCAGTGAAACACCAAGCTGAACAGATACTCGGTCAGCTCGCTGTGATGACTCGAGGGAGGTTACAGGCCCTACTTCCTTACACAGAAGAGAGAAGCAGCAAGCACCAACTTCAGGGAAGAGAAGCGTTGGCCGTCACCCTCCTCCAAACAGCAGGCAGCTCCCAAATCAATCTCTGGAAATTCAATAGCTAGGAGGTGGGCAAGGCTCCCACTGTCAGCCAGCTGAAACTCCACCGAGGTACCCCATCTGTAAAAAGAAGCCCTCAAAGACAGCCAAGGAACGCACCAGTCCAGGGACAACAGCTAAAGAAACCTCCCGTGACCCAGCTTCTGTTTGCTCTAGACGATAGCACTCATTCATTTGCTCAACAAACGTTACTTTTGGCTAGAACCCTGGCTCAGACAGCACGAAAGGGAAGCTAAGATCTGCCAGCTTCTGATTATGCTTCAAAACCCTACAAACAAAACAAAACCCTCCAACACGAGGGGCTTCAGGTTGGTTGGTCTAGGCATTCTGCACAGACAGGGTCCTCCACTAGTCTGACAGCTTCCTAAAGATGGGGCCGAGCTGCTCGCCCACTGCTTACTTAGTACCTTACCCTCTTTATTACAAGTCAGTAGATGCAACCGAGTTGAAGATAAAACTTCTGCCCTTCCAGAGTCTTTGGCTTAGCTGTTGCCGAAAGCGTTGTCCTCGCCCCCACCACCCCTCGGGCGGGGTGGGGGTGGGGGGTGGACGCAGGCAACAAAGAAAGAAAGAAGGGGGCCGCTGATCAAAGACTTTCAGGACTGGCATAATTTTGGAGCTTCAGCCCCAACTGCAGCGCTCCCAGGAGCCCCATCTGGTTCGGTCTCTCCCTGCTCCTCCGCTAGTATTTATTATTCTCCTCTAAATACCTCTTAATTGATTCCGAATGAGGACAGGAGTTAGGAACGGAAGATGCTCAAGAAGGAAGGAAGCCCTTAAGACGAAAGACTCAGGGCAGGGCTGCGCGGGGCAGAAGGTGAACAAGGTTGCCCTGGTCGTACCCTGATTCTTTTTTCTTTTTCTTCCTACACGACCTAGTCCCATTCTTCCTTCCTTAATTTCTTTTCCTTTTACATTTTTAACTGTTTTAGTCCCTGTGGCAGGGCACAACAGGGAAGCGCGGACGTTGAAGAGGACAGAAAGCAAGCTTCCCCCTCGAAAGGGTTACCTAACCTGGCACCGACCTGCGTTTTCCACCAAGTCACCTCCAGTGCCAGGAATCCCAGAAGCCCGTGGCGGGACCAGACGAAAGGAGGAGTCTCCCTGGGGTAGCATTCTAGGCCCGCCAAGTTAAAAAAAAAAAAAAAAAAAAGAAGGAGAAGGAAGAGGCTCCAGCACCCAACTCGTGCCCGAGGGACTTGCCTGGGACGTTCTCTGCGCTCCTCCCTACCCGCTGCCCGGGCAGTCCTTGCGGGGCTACCACCCCAGCGTCTTCCCGCGGAGAAGTTTCGCCCGCTGCAAACGTGAGAAAATGCAGCTCTGCAGGACACCGCCCCCACACGCCCCACCCCACAGCCCGACCCCTGGCGGTGGCGACCTTGGTCACCCCGGAGCGCCAGTGCACTGGAGGAAGGGCTAGCTCTGGGGCTTTCCTGGGTGCTAGGGAGGGCGCCGTCCACCGCCCGGACTGGCGCCACCAAGCCCACATGCCCCGGCTCCCCTCAGCCCCCCGGGGCTGCCGCGCCCAGGCCCTTGCACCGGGAGCCTCTCCGCCGGACTCACCGCGCTGTGCGCAACAGCAAGGGTCGCATCGGCTCCCAGGGTTCCGCGCCTCGGGGCTGAGGCTCCCCACTCGTCCTGCGGCGCACTTCTCCCTCTAGCCTCAGCCGTCCTCCACGGCCGACTCTCGACTCTTTTTTCCGGGTTAATTACGTTTCGCATTAAAGCAAAACCCAGCCCCGGATGTGAGTACAATGCTCCTCGGGCCTCCGGGGGAGGAGAGGGGTGCGGAGACCTCACGGGGACAGCAGCGGGGTGGGGGTGGGAGGTGGGAGATGGCGGGGGGGATGGGGGCGATGATGTGGCCCGGCCGCAGCAGGTGTCCGCGCTGGGCTGCGTGGCCAGCGCTTCCTCAACCTACTGCTCCGCAGGGCGCAGCGGGCCCACCCCGCGGCCGCTCAGAGCGCGAGGGGGCGTTGGGTTTAGGGGTGGCAGGAGGAGCGCATCGCCCCAGCCGTCTGCGGTGCGCCCGGCTAGCCCAGCGCGCCGCCAGCGCTCTGGCCCAGCCTGCCCTGCCCTTCTCGGAGCACAGAGAGCAGTGGGAAACCGAAGCCTGGATTCCATAGGTTTGGCCTAGGGTGACCGGACACAACTCCTGCGCCCTCGCCCTGCAGCCACATAGCAACCCTTAGGTACTAATCCTGTGCCGATGAGGAAACCGAGACTCCAAGACGTTAGGTAACCTGCTCTGGGTCCCCAGTCAGTAGAGGGCAGGTCTGTCCGGTCTGACGCAGGCCTCCCTCGTGGGGACACTGACATTTAAATGTAGGTAAAGCCAGGCGGACAACATCCGAAACCTAAATATAGAGGATTCGCCCAGGGACTAAGCACCGAGAGCCGAGGTATCTAAGGGGTGTGGGTGTCTGCCCCGCGGGTTCAAGGAGTCCTCGGAGACTCCAGGCCTGGATTCGCGAGTGGGAAGCGCGGTGCAGGTCAAAGGCGGCCTGGGAGCCAAACCTGGGGGCCGAGGGCCGCGGCCAGGTGAGCCGGCGGGAAGGCAGGACGGCCTGCAGCACACGCCCTGAAAGCTCCTGTGATGAAACCGCAGGCGCTTCCTCTTCTATTTTGATTGCCAAAGCGAAAATAAGCCGCCCAGTTCGCTCAGGTGTGAAAAAAAAAAGACGTTTGCTTCAGAACGTTTTGCTCTGAATGAGGAAGGAAAAGACACGAGGTGGGGGGCAGCCATTTCCCTTCAAATAAACATCAACGTCCATTATGAGCATTCGTGGAGGTCTGTTGCCCTGCTCTGGGCTTCAGGCAGCATTTCTCCAAGCCTGCTCCTGTCTCATAGGCAGCTGGTGACCCGTGATCCCCCTCAGTGCCTCAGTTTCTACATCTGGGTCATAAAGGTGCTGTGCAAATTTTGTTTTAACGAGATGGTCATTTTTACCGTAAATCAGACCATAATTATGGGGGTGGGGGTGGGGGGCAGAATTCGTCCTGGAAACCATCAACTCCAGCCGGATTCGCTAAATGAGTGCTGCCCGAAAATCCCGCTGGGACGCTAGCTTAGCAGCAGTGTGGAACAGAGAGCATCAGATTTCATGGTATGGTTCCTATTAAAACCCATAAAACTGCCCCCGCGGGGCCTGCCTGACTCACCCAGTCACAGACCCACAAGTCATTTTCTGAGCACTACTGTCTTGGCTGCCTGGGAGGCAGAGAAGCAAGCCAAAGGCCTCCATCTGCTCCATCGGTAAGGTGGGGAAACGGTACCCTTCTGGATGGCAGGGGGGCCCGCCTTCGATAGTCCGGAGAGCCAGGAGAGCCACTGTGACAGGCAGAGATTCTCACGGACTGTGAACTTTGAGTCTGTGATCTCTGAGCCTAAGTACAGGGCAGGTCGGCTCTCCTCCCTGGGTGATGGCAAGAATGGCAGCTTAGGGAGGGTCATTAGCCCCATTAACTGTCACCCTGTTAGTCCTGCAATCGCCAGTAGGGACTGGATGATCATTTCTGCACCGAATCCACTTCTATCACCCTGGTTTCCCGTACTCCTCAGAGGACCCCTCCTTCAACAAGCACCTTGGAGCGGGGCTTCAACTAGACTTACTGTGTAGTCTGTCTCTCTCAAAAAAATAAACATACTAGAAATCACACCATTTTCAAGTTTACATGTGGAAAAATTCAGTGGCAGGTTGTACACGTGACGCCACTGTACAGTAACGCTTTCACCCTCTTCTCCCAGCCTTGAGCAATCACCAATTTGCTTTCTCTCAAATCTACATATTTGGGACATTTCACCTGGAGGAAACCACATGACGGTGGTGTTGTTGATTATTAATATTTATCATTGATTTATCTTTTAGTTAAGCAGCGTTTATTCCTAAACCAGCTATATCTCCCAATCACCACACAGAGACTAGGATGTATTTAGTTAACCTAGAGTGCAGGCTGGGCAAATGATAATCCATCCTAAACCTCCAAGCCCGCATAGTTCCCTACCACTCAGATTTTACACGTTATACTTGCTTTTAGTCATATGTTAGGTCAGGTTCATCTCTCCTCATGGTTCCCAGTCCTCTCCCGCCAATCTCTGCTCCCTGACTCCTCCCATTTGCTTCCTTCTCCTCCCATGGGGACAGGATGTCCCACCCTATGCTCTCGTTGCTCATCGTTGGCTGGTTGAACAAATGGTGGCATGTTTACATAAACTTGAGACAGGTGATGCTTAGAATAGATATCACAATGCACTGTCCAGATTGAAACCAGCTAGTACGGTAGAGAAATCAGCATTTGAATGAAGGAGGGTAAATTGTGTACATTCCACAGGAACATTATACCAACTCTGTGGCTTTTGTGCCCAGCTTCTCATAGGTTTGGCATTTCTTGACTAAACTCACTTTCAAGTATTTTCATTGTCTGACTTTAAGCATTGGCTTGGTCTCACTGCAATAAACCAACCATTTGAGTCTTGCCTGTTGGGGAGGGACATCAAAGAAGACCCTTTTTACATAAACTGTTTCAGCCGCCTCACTGGACTAGAGCAACATAAAGCTCCAAGATTTGTTTAAGATCTGGCAGCCGGTTAGTGGTTTCAATTGGCTCCAGCATTCAGGGCTTAAACTACTCCTAGACTCTTACAATATAAAAACTTCCCCTAAAAAAATGGGATTATCTCATCAGGACCTAGGAATGTCAGCAGCCCAGTGTCTGACACAGCTATTTCGTTAGGAGCTTTCTATTTTCCAAGCCAATGGCCGGTGAGCTGGAGAAGCCAGTGACACTGAGTGGCGAGCCAGTGTTCCCTCCAACAAACTGTGTTACTCTCTGCCCTCTGAGGTCCCTGCTAGGAAGGTTTTGAGCTGCAGCTGGGGTCACTCGATGAGGCCAAAGTCAATTGACTTAGTCCTCTTCAAAATAGTGAGTTCTGCCCAGAGATAAACTGCTTCAGGCAGAGGCAGGCGGGTCCCTGTGAGTTCGGGGCCTGCCTCGTCTACAAAATGAGTCTAGGATAGCCAAGGCTACACAAAGACACCCTGTCTCAAAAAAAAAAAAAAAAAAAAAAGCTTCGGGTCCACATGGTATACCTCCAAAATTTTTTCTAGGTAATTGTTACTTGTTTTAATAGCAGAGTGCAATAAAGTTCTGCACCATCCAAGTGTAGGGGTACTCAAACTACTGTAATTCTGCTCAGCATTTGAGCCGATTTTTCTTCCCCATATACATTTTATTTTCTTCTTTTCTAGGCACTTACTGCTGATTGCTTTTTATGCAGTCCCTGGTTCAAGTCCTAAGTGCCCTGGTCCTAAGTGCCAGGAACCATCATTTCCCTAATTTGTGTTGAAGAGATGTGCAAAGATGAAGCCTGGGCACAGTCCAGCAGCCCGGTACCAGTTTCTGGTCTTCTTCCATTAGCTACACTGACATGTGATGGGCCTTACAAAGGGCTCTAGAGAGAATGCAGGACCCTTCCCCTCAGTTTTAGTGATTATATCTCCATTTTATCTACAAAACATGGTGAAGGGCATGTTCTAAAGGAAGTTACAGCTACATAAATGCAAAGATATTTGCATATACAAATGTGTCTATGTGCTTATTCACTGAAGCACTGTTCACCATGGTGAGAACTGGAAATCATTTAGGGGGGTAGGACAGGTCAACACAGGCACATGCATACATTCTTATACTATGCTCCAACCAAGGAAAAATATAGTTGGGTTGGGAGCATAATTCAATGGCGTGGCCCATGCTAAGCAAGCATCAGGAAGGGCCAGGATTCAGTTTAGAGGGACAGAGGAGGAGACAGAGAGAGGGAGGGAGGAGGAAGAGAGCTGGGGAGGGAGGGAGGGAAGAGAGAAAAAGAATCCTATTAAAAATTTAAAAAAACATTACAAAGCTGTAATATCTAATATAAAATACAAGTGTGAATGATTTATTCTGAATTCTTAATCACAGTTCTCTTCGGGCAAGCAGAGATGGTGGATTTCACCCCCCAGATATATATTTCTCAGTGTTTAGGATTGTGTGTGTCTGTATCTGCACATATGTGAGTGTGTGTGAGTGCAAGTGTGTGTGCTTGCTAGTAGAGACCAGAAGTTGCTAGAATATCTTTCTTGATCACTCTCTACTTTTCATTTACTCAGGCAGCTGAATCCTGAGTTTGCTGATTCAGCTAATCTAAATAAACAAATTTTCCCTGGGAATCCCCTGTCTCTGCTTCCTAAGTGCCAGGTTCATGGGCAGGTCACCGTGGCTACCCAGTTCTTAC